GCAAGGGCATCAGGCTTACAGAAAATACCACCACCTGCAAACTTCCTTCCAAGTAACACTCACCAGTCTGACTTGGAACTATATTGTCATTTTGTTGCTGTTATTGAGTCAAAGTCATGGAACTCGCATTACTGGTACTGCGGGCCTGCCTTTCCCGGTCTGCAGTAGCTCACAAAGGTGGCTGAAAGGCAATATGAGAATTTTTGAAAATTGCTACTCAAAATAACTGCACAATTTTGTAGTTGACAGCTTATACCACAATAGCCCATATTTGGTACCTTTATACCTGTCTTGGTGACTGCAGTTAGTACTTAACATTACCTGCCTATTTTATAACATGAATGCTATAAAAATACTTAAATTACTGGTACTACGTTACTTTTGCTGTCAAAACACTCAACTGAGTGCAAGGACATTAATTCACTCATGATTCAAATTTCATTTAGTGGCAGATATTGTGATGACATTATATTCAAACTGCATGATTTTCTTCTCAGCTGGCACAGCTTCCCAAAGCAAACAATTTGATGAAGAAAGTAATGCTTCGCTAAGCACTGCCCGTGATGAAACCCGCGATGGCTTCCTCATGGAAGATAGTGAACCCACAGTAGCTCAGCTTCTTCATGAAAGAACATATTCCTTTTCCTTCTGGCCAAAGGTTCGTTTGGTTATAAACTTTTGAATATATAATTCACTATTGTGTTGTGCTGAAGCAAACAATTTTTGAATGAAATTTATTTGACAAGTCCAAATTTAGACCTAATAAATTGTTCAAACAGGGTGCTGCTGATTTTATCCTGATCAGTGTGTACATTACTTTATCATAATAAAACAAGCAGCCTCAAGAATATTTTTTCCAATCTCTCTCTCATTGGGAATTACAGCAATTTTGTCCTTCTACTGACTGTTCTGATTTTATTTTTGGTTTTTGATTACTGCAGCTTAGAGACAAGATGCCTCCCCAAGCCTGTTTGCTGTAACATTGGTGTGATTAAATTAATTTAGATTATTCACAAATTATTTTTGTCTGGCAAACCTAATCCAAATCCACCAACCATATTTCCGTAGGGTAGTATGTAGTCTCCCAAATGCAAATGAAAGCAAGACTTCGATATTTAGTGATCAGGTATAAACTTGCAACCTGTAAATATGTTATGATTGCATACTTGTAGTTTCAATTGATAAGCATCCAATTGTTTTCTTGCAGTCCAGTGCAAGGTTTTAGCCTTTATTCAAATTTAAGCTCAGAGAGGTTCTGAGGTTCGTCAAATTCTCACAGGCTGTATAAAGGTGCATATCAATGAACATCTGCAATTGGTTTCTAAAACTGTACCTATTCCTTATCTTTTGTGCTTGGCAAATACAGTAAGATGTATTCCAGTTTTGCTTTTACTTAGCCTCCAGGTTTGAAGGCAACATGACGTTCACTTCCTATGTTTTATTAACTATACAAATTGAATGTTTTAAGTTCTTCTAAGTATGTTTACAAGACTGGATTCCAGTGTATGATTCAAATATGTTATAAGGAAAAACAGACTTAAACTGATATGGTTCTTGAGGCACAACTCCTTAAGGTGATGAATTTAATTCCTCATCATAAAATGTCATTTTGCCTATTAAAGTCTATCATCCGGATGTGTTTTCAACATCCCTGTGATTTTGCCTACTCTACACAGTAAATTATTCCAAAGATGTCTTTCAAGATTTAATATTGTTCATACTTTTCACTAAATTTCATTTATGTGCACTAGTAAACTTTTCGAACTTTGTAAGGATATTTTATCTAGCAACATGATTTAGTATTTAAAATGTATCATGTTATTACTGGTTAATGCTTCCCTAATAAATGCCAGGCTTGAACTTGTCTAATAATTAAAATCTCATCTTTGTGTGCTACATGCCAAAACTGAGCATGATATACTTTGTGTTAATGAGTAGTCTATTCTAAACACGTAACAGAGTACTTAAAGATATATTCTGCTAATCTGGTTTCATATCTCAGCATTTATTTACTGTTTTAAGTGTTTTACTGCAATATGTGAATGTTATGAGTGACCTTATTATCACCACCTGGTTACTTTGACTCTCCCTGTGCTTATTCAGTTCCAGTCGTTAAATGCTTAATATATTCTGTAATTTATGTTTACTAGTTTTAAATGTAATTTGGTAGCCCAATTACATAGCTAATCTCTCCTGCTCTCTCTATATAAATGTCAACGAATCTGTTAAATTTGTAAGTGGGAGGGAAATTAGAAACTAGATCAAGATATTGACTCCTGTGAGGCTGTGTCCGACAATACTACAATACATTAATGAGTAGTCTTTGTTTTTTAACAGTTAATTGGTCATCAGATTCTTCAGAGTTTTCAATGTTTTTTTTATGTATGGTTCAGTTTCTCTGTTTCTTTAATGTGGAATCCTTGGGAGTCCCACTACCCACAATTCGAAGTCTTGGGTTCGTTATGCAGGATCCACCTCTTAAATCTTTCCTGATTGTCCAATTGCTGCAGTGCAGGTACTCCTCAGCCTGCCTTTGAATGAGCTTATGCTGGTGTTTATGCAGCACAAAACTTTCTCCCACCCAAGTAGACCCAAATTTTAAGGACAAAAATCTATCATTGTGTCAGATGTTGTTTATAGTCCAGGTACTTGACTGAAGCAGGATGGGCAAAATCCTGATTTCAGTGCAACTGCACCACATTTTAACTTCAGTAAATGTCTACCAAAATCCTGATGGCAGCATGTTCCAAGTGTATCTATTTGAAGAATGATCTCTTTGCATTCCAGGATCGTGTAATGATTAATCGCTTAGACAACATTTGTGAAGCAGTGGTCAAGGGAAAGTGGCCTATAAATAGGCGCCAGCCGTTTGATTTTCATGGTATGATCAACTACGCTCCCACATCAGTGGAAAGCCCTCTGCCAAGGAGGAGTTTCACTGAACTCTCCATGGTAGGTCAAGGGAGCTTCAGTGCCTGTGAAGATATAGCTGGTTCTCCTCAGGTATCAAGGGTAGGTATTTAATATTCCTATTACACAGTAGAAAATTTGTTTGAAATAAATGAAGATCAAATCTAAGGTCATGTTGAGCAGAGAAATGAAGTCCCATTCTATTTACACAATAATACATTCTGACAATAATGTGTTTTACTTATACTGTGCCTCACTGTGGTCCAATCTAAATAAAATAGCAGGTTCTTGATCAGTGAAGGGGGAAGAATGACAAATTTGAACATTACATCCTGGAACAGAAATCAAACGTTGACCGTAGAGTAAACAGTCTCTTGAACAGATAGGTAATTATGTTGTGATTATGATTTATTAATGTTCTAGCATTGTTGGTAGCATTTCAGACCCCAGCTGATTCATGACCTGGAATGTTTGAAACTTGAAGTTTGTTTTATTTGTTCATGGGATGCAGATGTCTCTGGCCCATCCCTAATAACTTGAAGGGCAGTTAAGAGTTAACTACTAGTGGTTTGGAGTCACATGTAGGCCAGACCAGGTAAGGATGGCAGATTTTGTGCTCTAAAGGGTATTAGTGAACCAGGTTTTTATGATAATATACAGTGACTACGTCGTCACTGTTGGGCATGTTTTCAGGTTTCACCATCTGACATTGTATAATTTAAACCCATGTCCCCAGAACATTACTCTCAGTTTCTGGATTACTAATCCAGTAATATTATCACTATGCCACTGCTTCCCCAGTTCTCTAGTACCATCATAGCTCATCTTGCTAAGCACAAAATGCATAATGTTCAGAAGGGCAAAAAATTCCTTCCTGTTAATGTGAGTTTTGTAAACTAAGGAAAAATCTTTTGTCACGTTGCTTTTGAACAACCCAAATCATTTGTGTTCCATTCTTAGTAGTTTTACGCATTCGTGTCTAAACAAAGTACAAAATGTACATTTAGTACACTTTAAAGAAGCTACCATCAAGTTTTTGGCATTGGGAGTAATTTTGGCATTTTCGGTAATTTGTACTCTTTAATTTTCATAGTAATTCAGTCTCCATTTTGAGGTACTTAAACAAATAAATACACTATATTTAAAATCATTATTCCTTAGTGTCTATGATTGCCAAGCCAAGGATTAGGATATTGCAGTTTCTGTATACTGAAACCTACGGAACTAAGAGAGATAAAACAAAGTTGGTCTAGCACTGCCACTGGTGGTTAGCCCAAACCTTAGGGAATTTCCAGTGCAAATGAAGGCATGACTTAAGTGTCAACACAAAAGTAACAAAGAACAGTACAGCACAGGAACAGGCCCTTCAACCCACCATGATGCCTTTCTAAACTAAAAGCCTTGTGCCTTTATCTGATCTGTACCCTTCTATTCCCACCTATTCATGTATCTATCAAGATGCCTTTTAAATGTTGCTGTTCTATCCGTCACCTCCACCACCTCTGGCAACATATCCTACCGCACTCTGTAAAAGACTTGCCTCTCATTGTCTCCTTTAAACTTACCCTTTTAACCTTATACCTATGTCCCGTAGTAATTGACATTGCTACCCTGGAAAAAGACAATGACTATTCATTCTATCCATGCCCCTCATAATTTTCTAAACTTCTATCAGGTCGCCCCTTATTCTTCAATGTTCAAGCTTTTAAAAAAAAGGCAACTTTGTCTGATCTCTCCTCTTGGCTAATACCCTCCGTACCAGGTAACGTCCTGGTAAACCATTTCTGTATCAGCTACAAAGCCTCCATGTCATGAGCAGGTGACAAAAGCAGAGCAAAAGCGATAACTCAGCTATAGATATGGGCAATTTGAGAGAGAATGGCTTTATTGCCTCTAATGTCACGTATTTCTTTAAATTGCTGTGTTTATGCTATCACTATAGTATGCTTCATTGAAAGACCGTGATGGTTGTGTTTTGAGGATGCCAATTTAGAGACTTGAAAGTAGAAAGATCCCATTGTTCTCTGTTGAGAATGTTAGATTTCTTTACTTCCACGTGCAGTCTGATGTAAAGATTCTTTGCTCCCATTCATCCTTCCGAAAAGAATAGATCTGTTGCCAAAAGTTTCCTTGCAAATATTTCCAACTACAAAATTTATTTACTCACCATTAGGAGGACCTTATAATTTAAACTGACAGACTCAAATCTGTATTGAATGGCAAAAGTGGTGTTTGTAGAATCCAAAACCCAATATATTTCTCCCCTACTGCAGGATGATGCATTGAACCTGTCAGTTCCAAGGCAACGTAGGAGACGGCGTAAGAAAATTGAAATAGAAGCTGAGCGAGCTGCAAGGAGAAGAAACCTTATGGAGATGGTAGCTCAGCTTCGCGAGTCCCAAGCAGCCTCGGATAGTGGACAGGAGAGAGCTGTGGACTTATCAAAAGCCTCCAGAGAGGCAAAAAGTTCTACCTCAGTCAGTAACCTTGCTGTTAATTCCAAGTATGTTTTGCCGAATGCCTCTGTGCCAGTATCTGATGCCTATAAAGCCCACATTGAAATGCTGCAAGCAGGCCTTTCACGAGCACCAACTGGACTTGTGATAAATGGTTCATTAGTTGATGGGGAAATGCCAATAAAAAGAAGAAGAGGAAGAAGGAAAAATGTTGAGGGACTTGATCTTCTATTTATGAATAACAAACGGACATCATTAAGTGTGGTAAGTAACATTTTAATGGAACATAAGAACTGGGAGCAGGAGTACACCATTCAGCCCCTTGAGCTTGCTCCACCATTTAATATGATCGTGGCTGATCCCATCTCAGCCTTGACTCACTTCTGCCTTCAACCTGTTAATAATTAAAAATCCATCTATTCCATCCTTAAATGTACTCAATGTTTTGGCATCTACTTCATGCTGCAGTAGTTTTAAATAATTTTTTAAATAATTAAAAATTAAAATAATTAAATAACTTTTCTTAAATAATTTTTCTACCCCTTGTCATTTGGAGTATAATTGCTTTTAGCTATGAAATGTGATTTGACTTTTTTACTTTAGTGTTTCTTAGGGTTGAACAATATTTCCACTATTATGATTTTTGCAGTGACGAAGCTTGTTGACAAAGACTTGAAAGTCTTGAAGGGGACATGGGCATACACAAAAACAAATTTTTCGAGTGTTGCTTTTCAAAGAGCGCCTCTTTAATAGGCGAGGGAGAGGAAGGTTAACAAATAGCATCAGCCTCACTGCAGATCAGAGCACTGTCAACAATAATAGTGATATTCGTATCAGGCAGCTGAAACGGAAGTGACTGAGAAAAAATATTCACTTTAATACTGTACCATCACCCTTTGTCACGTGTTTATCTTTGTCACTTCCCAACTAATTAGTACACTCTATACAATGCTTAATGGTATGTTATACAAACCAGAAAGTTTGCATTGTCTGTAACCTACCAACCAGAGTGCTGAATGTATCACAAGATATTTTCTAAGTCCCAGTGCTCTCATGTGCAGTAAAGTCAGACTGATACAATAAAATAAATTCTAAACACAAGGATATTTTCTATTCAGGTGTAACTATGTTCCAGATTTTTCAAGTAATGCTTTGAATAGTTTTGAGGAGAATATCACAATTGAGTTATTATGAGGTTAAATTATTAGACAACAGCAGTGTGTGATTAAGTACTCAATGCTAGATTGGCCATGAAACTAGATTAGATCATTTTTTAGAATTGGTTGTAAACCACACTCTATTCTGTCAGTAATCTATGTAATTTGGGATTTTAAGAGTTCAGAAAAATGGGGGGGGGAAAGGACTTGTTTTTCGAGGGTACTTTGATTTAAGGTCTCTGAAAGACACCACCTTTAACATTACCGTGCTTCCTCAGTACTGTACAGAAGTGTAATCTTAGAGTAAATGCTGATACTTGTGGCAGAGCATGACTGCGCCCAGTTAACAAGTGTGCAGTTCATTAAGAATATTATGCCATGTGCAGCATGACTCTCATTACTCAACTGTATAACATACATTCGTACCTATTTTGACTTGAGGGCGTGTCAGGAAGACTGACTACAAGAGATCTGGAGCATGAGAATAAAAGTCGAAATGCATCTAATAATTTGCCTGTTCTGATATTTAGAACGCGCAGGGTATTTTTAAGTCCATTTCCCTATTTTGTTAGGAGCCAGAAGGCTATTAAAGACTGAGCAATGGTTTTATAAGTGGTCTTAATTGCACAAAAGAAAATATTATTACACATTTTAAAAGTTAATTCATGGGATGTGGCCATCTGCCTGGCTGGGCCAGCATTTATTGCCAATCCCTAGTTGCCCTTGAGAAGGTGGTGGCGAGCTGTCTTGTTGACTCTGTGCAGTCCATGTGCAGCAGGTTAACCCACAATGCTTTTAGAGAGGTAATTCCAGTGAAGGAATGGCATATATTTCCAAGTCAGGATGGTGAGTGGCTTGGACGGGAAGTTGCAGGTGGTGGTGCTGTGCTGCCTTTGTCCTTCTAGGTGGAAGTGTCGTGGTTTTTGAAGATGCTGCCTAAAGGAGCTTTGATGAATTTCTGCCATGCATCTTGTAAGTGCTGTACACTGCTGCTAATGAATGTTGGTGGCGGAGGGAGTGTTTGTTGATGTGGTACCTCATCTGCTTTCTGGGTGGTGTCAAAGAACAATACAGCACAGGAACAGGCCCTCTAAGTCTGTGCCAACACATATTGCCCTTCCATACTAAAACTGTCTTCACTTAGAAGATCCATATCCCTCTATTCCCTTCCTACTACTGTATTCATCCAGGTGTTTTTTGAATGCTGCTATTGTGTCTGCTTCCACCACCACCTCTGGCAGCATGTTCCAGGCACTTACCTTGCACTGAGAGGTAGCAGTGCTAACCACGCCATCCCTTGTAGATGAGATAGGATAGGACAGACTTTGGGGAGTTGGCAGGAGAATTAGTTGTTGCTGGATTCCTAGCCCCTGACCAGCTCTTGTAGCCGCAGCATTTATATGGTTATTCCATCTCAGTTATAGAGTCATACAGCAAAAAGAAACAGACACTTCAGTCCAATTCGTCCATGTCCACCAAGGTTCCCAAACTAAACCAGGCCCACTTGCCTGCGTTTGGCCCATAGTCCTGTAAAGCTTTCCTATCCATCTACTCATCCAAATGTCTTTTAAGTGTTTGTAACTGCCACTTCTTCAGGCTGCTCATTTCCACATATGAACCACCCTCTGTGTGAAAGTGTTGCCCTTCGGGTCCCTTTTAAATCTTTCCTCCCACCACCCACCCAACAAATATGCCCCCTAGTTTTGAACTGCCCCACCCTAGGGGGAAGACTTTTTTTAATTCACCTTATCTATACCCCTCAAATCTCTAAGGTTATCCCTCAACCTCCTAAGCAAAGTTTTCTGCAGGAACAAACCAACTAAAATTGAAACAGACAGTGCAAGTTGAGCTTCAGCTAGTATTAAAACACACAACAAAGTTTTGTTGAACTTTGCAGAATGATTGTTCAACTTTCTTATTTTGAACAATACTTATGAAACACATTGAGTTAACTGTTGAACTAAGAATTCATTGTGTTCCAAATTAATTTTGAGATCTCTGTGTTGCTGGAAAGACTGTCATTTTATTGCCCTGAGAAATAACTGGCATTCTCTCACAGCTATGTGGTTTGGTAAGTGAGCTGTTAAGTGTATAATGGGGAGCTAAACATCGACCACATTGTTATGGCACTGAATCACAGGCATCCCAGACCCAGTTATTGGGACTTAGGACAGTTTCATTATCACTTACAGGTCTTTTTTTACCAGATTTTGTTTTCAAACAATTCAAATTCCCAAACACTTAGGGTAGGATTTGCATTAACATTCTCTCAATGATTAGTCTACAACTCGGGAGTGAGTCCAGTGAATTAATCATGTCTGTTTTGTCAAGTTAGGCATGTGTTAGATGTGCTTCTCAAAGGGGGTTTGCACTTCGTATCTTTAGTGTACTCAGTAGTCTCCTGAATTGCAACATAATTTGATTTCCATAGATGCAGCAGCATTCATGGAATTCATGCAATGGCCTGGATTTTCTGATGACCAGATAGTTGTATCTGACAAATAGATGAGAGTCGCACGTGGGCACCTTGTGGAATCCCCATTATAGCATTGTCCGAAGAAAAATTAAAGATGCTCCTGGGTAATTTTCTCCACCTGGAATTCTCCAGAAGTAACCGTTTAAAATGGAAAAGTCATAGAGTTCTGCTATGGTTAAGTAAATGGTTACACAAGAGAAGTTCAACTATAAAGTACCTACAAATTAAAACCAAATTACTGGAGAAGCTCAGCAGATCTGGCAGCATCTGTGGAGAGTAATCAGAGCTAATGGTCCGGGTCCAGTGACCCTTCGTTAGAACGCTGACATTCGCTTACCGTCCCCTTCTTTCCCCACCTCCTTCATCGCCCTCCCAGCATTCTCCTGGTACCTTACCCTCCCGGTATCCTAACATCTCACAGTTGCTATTAAATTGGCTGTCTGAGACCCTGGGCCATTACATTTCAGGATACTGCAGCAGATTGCTGTGTAAAGAGGGGCATGATCTGTCTTTCCCCTAGCAGTTCTGCACTATGAGGGAATTGTCTGAATGGACGTATGACTTTGTTTCTGAAGGAGCTCTGATTGGAATCTGTCTGAAATGTGGACCCCTTTCATGACGTACTAAAAGGAACAGTGGCAATCCATGAGAGATTACCTCCTTGGAAAATCCAGTCGAATGAATCTAAACTTCATTCGACTAAGAAGACTGTTGACAAGAGAATTGAGGTTTCATCCAGAATAAAGCCCCATGTTCTGCTGTGTGTTATGTAGAAATCATTAAAATAACAATACCTTTGACTTACTGAAAATGGGAAATTAGGGCATGCAGGTATAAGAGTGAAAGTATTTTCTTTGCCTAAGTACCTGCCTCTGCATTTTCCTACAGTTTCCTGATGGTATTGGTATTTATCTGTAAATAATTATCTGTTTGCCTTATTAATAATGCCTTTTGATTTTCAGGATGATGCAGAACTGACCAAAGCTTTTGATGAGAGCGTGCAGTCAGTGTCACAACCAAGAAACATTCCATCTCCTGGTCAATTGGACCCGGAGGTGCACATCCCCGTTATTAATTTAGAAGATGGGACCAGACTGGTGGGGGAAGAAGCCCCTAAGAATAAAGATTTGGTGGAATGGCTAAAAGTTCATCCAGCTTATACTGTAGACATGCCTAGTTATGTACCAGTAAGTACAGCAAGTACATATTTACAGCATTTGAAGAACAGTATCTGTTTACCATAGGAACTGGCATCCGTATTACACTAGCAATTTTTGTTCTAAATGACTGTTTCCCAAGCTTACAAATTGCTGCCACGTTTTTCCAGTTTTTTAGGTTTTTTTTTGGTAAACTATGTAATTGTGTTTTTGTGACTATTGGTGGCATTAAGGAGAAATAATGCTTTCTAGATTTTTTTTGAAGAACAGGAAATAAAATTAGAGAGAAGTATGTTATCTTTATTCTCAGAATATCATGCAGAATCTCTTGAAATAAGTCCCCATGCAGTAATTATATGCTTTTTCCATTAATTTGGAAGAAGTTCTGAAATCTAATCCAACACTTTTTAAAATTTTTGTTACAATATTTGAATTGTAGGTTTCAGACAGCATCAATTCTTTTCAAGCTTTTCTTTACAGGACACAGCAGGTAAACATTAAAACATCACAGCTTTTAATCATATACACTAACTACAGGAAAGCGATGCCAAACTTTCAGAAAACAATAAACACAGTAAAGCAAACAAAATTTCAGTGAGCTGTCGGTTATTGGGAAGAACAAGTAGAGAAATCAGCACTTAGGACAATCTGCCCTATAGTATGAATAACTGTAATCAGAAATCTGGTGAGCTGCAGATTTTAGAGTCTGAATGAAGACTCGTAGTTTAACCACTGTCTGATCTGAGCTAATAGATGGGGAAACTTGCTCCATTTTGGAAGAGGGCCTCTATTCCAAACCGATTATTTGAGACAAAATCTGTTGGTGAAACTCAGAAGGCCTGGCAGCAACTGTACGGAGAAAGCAGAGTTAATGTTTCGATGAAGAGTCACAGGACTCCATGTTGACTCTGCTTCCTTCCCACAGATCCTGCTAGATGGCTGAATTCACCAGCAATTTGTTTTTATTTCAGATCTCCAGCTTCGGTAGTTCTTTGGTTTAATTTAGATTACTTGAGAGTTATTCTCAGAAATGCACTAGAAGACACCACAAGCAGCATGGTGGCTCAGTGGTTAGCCCTGTTGTCTCACAGCACCAGGGGCCCAGATTCAATTCCAGCCTCAGTTGACTGTCTGTGCAGAGTTCTTCTCGTGTCTGCATGGTTTTCCTCCAGGTGCTCCAGTCTCCAACAGTCCGAAGATACGCAGGTTAGGTGGATTGGCCATGCTGAATTGCCCTGTAGTGTATAGGGATGCATGGGCTAGGTAGGTCAGCCTTGGGAAATGTGGGGCTACGGGGATGGATGGGGCGCTAGGTCTGGGTGGGATGCTGTTCTGAGTTTATCTCTCTTCAGTGCTGAATAGCTCTAGCCCAGGCAACATCCTGAAAAATCTCCTTTGCACTCTCTCATGAAATCACTTGCATCTTGTTGTGTGGCAACCAGAACTGCACACACTATTGTAGCTGCGGCCTAATGTCTTACGCAACTCCATCGTAAGCTCCCTCCTCTTGCACTCAGTGCCTCAGCTAATAAAGACAAGTACCCACCTTATCCACTTGTCCTCTTGCCTTCCAGAATCTATGGACATGCACACCAGTGTCCCTCTAATCCTCTGTACTTCCTAGGGTCCTACCATTCATGTGTACTACCTTGCTTTGTGAGACCTTCCAAAATACATTACATTACACTTTTTGCAGATCTAATTCTGTTTGCCACTGTTCAGCCCATCTGACTACCCTGTCTATATCGTCCAACTCCAGCTCCTCGGAAACTGTGTTAGGGAACTGGAGCTGGAGCTGGATGAACTTCGGATCATTCGGGAGGCTGAGGGGGTAATTGAGAGGAGTTACGGGGAGGTAGTCACACCTCAGGTACAGGAAAAAGGTAGATGGGTTACAGTCAGGGGACGGAAAGGGAACAGGCAGACAGTGCAGGGATCCCCTGTGGCCATTCCCCTCAAAAACAAGTATACCGTTTTGGATACTGTTGGGGGGGGGGGGCGGAACTTACCAGGGGTAAGCCATGGGGTACAGGTCTCTGGCACAGAGTCTGTCCCTGTTGCTCAGAAGGGAAGGGGGGAGAGGAGGAGAGCATTAGTCACTGGGGACTCCATAGTTAGGGGGACAGATAGGAGATTCTGTGGGAACGAGAGAGACTCGCGGTTGGTGTGTTGCCTCCCAGATGCCAGGGTCCGTGATGTCTCGGATCGTGTTTTCGGGATCCTTAAGGGGGAGGGGGAGGGGGAGCAGCCCCAAGTCGTGGTCCACATAGGCACCAACGACATAGGTAGGAAAAGGGATGGGGACGTAAGGCAGAAATTCAAGGAGCTAGGGTGGAAGCTTAGAGCTAGAACAAACAGAGTTGTTATCTCTGGTTTGTTACCCGTGCCACGTGCTAGCGAGGCGAGGAATAGGGAGAGAGAGCAGTTGAACACGTGGCTACAGGGATGGTGCAGGAGGGAGGGATTCAGATACATGGATAATTGGGGCTCATTCTGGGGTAGGTGGGACCTCTACAAACGGGATGGTCTACACCTGAACCAGAGGGGTACCAATATCCTGGGGGGGAAATTTGCTAATGCTCTTCAGGAGGGTTTAAACTAATTCAACAGGGGGGTGGGAACCTGAATTGTAGCTCCAGTGTACAGGAGGTTGAGAGTAGTGAGGTCATAAATAAGGTTTCAAGGTCGCAGGAGTGTACTGGCAGGCAGGAAGGTGGTTTGAAGTGTGTCTACTTCAATGCCAGGAGCATCCGGAACAAGGTGGGTGAACTTGCAGCATGGGTTGGTACCTGGGACTTCGATGTTGTGGCCATTTCGGAGACATGGATAGAGCAGGGACAGGAATGGTTGTTGCAGGTTCCGGGGTTTAGATGTTTCAGTAAGATCAGGGAAGGTGGTAAAAGAGGGGGAGGTGTGGCATTGTTAGTCAAGGACAGTATTACGGTGGCAGAAAGGACATTTGATGACAACTTGTCTACTGAGGTAGTATGGGCTGAGGTTAGAACGAGGAAAGGAGAGGTCACCCTGTTGGGAGTTTTCTATAGGCCTCCGAAAAGTTCCAGAGATGTAGAGGAAAAGATTGCAAAGGTGATTCTGGATAGGAGCGAAAGTAACAGGGTAGTTGTTATGGGGGACTTTAACTTTCCAAATATTGACTGGAAACGCTATAGTTCGAGTACTTCAGATGGGTCAGTTTTTGTCCAATGTGTGCAGGAGGGTTTCCTGACACAGTATGTAGATAGGCCAACAAGAGGCGAGGCCACATTGGATTTGGTACTGGGTAATGAACCAGGCCAGGTGTTAGATTTGGAGGTAGGTGAGCACTTTGGTGATAGCGACCACAATTCGGTTACGTTTACTTTAGCGATGGAAAGGGATCGGTATATACCGCAGGGCAAGAGTTATAGCTGGGGGAAAGGCAATTATGAGGCGATGAGGCAAGATTTAGGATGCATAGGATGGAGAAGGAAACTGCAGGGGCTGGGCACAATTGAAATGTGGAGCTTGTTCAAGGAACAGCTACTGCGTGTCCTTGAGAAGTATGTACCTGTCAGGCAGGGAGGAAGTGGTTGAGCGAGGGAACCGTGGTTTACTAAAGAAGTGAATCTCTTGTCAAGAGGAAGAAGGAGGCTTATGTAAAGATGAGGCGTGAAGGCTCAGTGAGGGCGCTTGAGAGTTATAAGTTAACCAGGAAGGACCTAAAGAGAGAGCTAAGAAGAGCCAGGACATGAGAAGTCTTTAGCAGGTAGGATCAAGGAAAACCCTAAAGCTTTCTATAGGTATGTCAGGAATAAAAGAATGACTAGAGTAAGATTGGGGCCGGTCAAGGACAGTAATGGGAAGTTGTGCATGGAGTCCGAAGAGATAGGAGAGGTGCTAAATGAATATTTTTTGTCAGTATTCACACAGGAAAAAGACAATGTAGTCGAGGAGAATACTGAGATACAGTCTATTAGACTAGACGGGATTGAGGTTCATAAGGAGGAGGTGTTAGCAATTCTGGAAGGTGTGAAAATAGATAAGTCCCCTGGGCCGGATGGGATTTATCCTAGGATTCTCTGGGAAGCTAGAGAGGAGATTTCAGAGCCTTTGGCTTTGATCTTTATGTCGTCATTGTCTTCAGGAATAGTGCCAGAAGACTGGAGGATAGCAGATGTTGTCCCCTTGTTCAAGAAGGGGAGTAGAGACAACCCTGGTAATTATAGACCAGTGAGCCTTACTTCGGTTGTGGGTAAAGTGTTGGAAAGGATTATAAGAGATAGGATTTATAATCATCTAGAAAGGAATAATTTGATTAGGGATAGTCAACACGGTTTTGTGAAGGGTAGGTTGTGCCTCACAAACCTTATTGAGTTCTTCGAGAAGGTGACCAAACAGGTGGATGAGGGTAAAGCGGTTGATGTGGTGTATATGGATTTCAGTAAAGCGTTTGATAAGGTTCCCCATGGTAGGCTATTGCAGAAAATACAGAGGCATGGGATTGAGGGTGATTTAACGGTTTGGATCAGAAATTGGCTAGCTGTAAGAAGACAGAGAGTGGTGGTTGATGGGAAATGTTCATCCTGGAGTTCAGTTACTAGTGATGTACCTCAAGGATCTGTTTTGGGGCCACTGCTGTTTGTCATTTTTATAAATGACCTGGATGAGAGCGTAGAAGGATGGGTTAGTAAATTTGCGGATGACACCAAAGTCGGTGGAGTTGTGGAGAGTGCAGAAGGATGTTGCAGGTTACAGAGGGACATAGATAAGCTGCAGAGCTGGACTGAGAGGTGGCAAATGGAGTTTAATGCGGAAAAGTGTGAGGTGATTCACTTTGGAAGGAGTAACAGGAATACAAAGTACTGGGCTAATGGTAAGATTCTTGGTAGTGTGGATGAGCAGAAAGACCTCTGTGTCAATGTGCATAGATCACTGAAAGTTGCCACCCAGGTTGATAGCGTTGTTAAGAAGGCGTACAGTATGTTAGGTTTTATTGGTAGAGGGATTGAGTTTCGGAGCCATGAGGTCATGTTGCAGCTGTACAAAACTCTGGTGCGGCCGCACTTGGAGTATTGCGTACAGTTCTGGTCGCCGCATTATAGGAAGGATGTGGAAGCATTGGAAAGGGTGCAGAGGAGATTTACCAGGATGTTGCCTGGTATGGAGGGAAGGTCTTATGAGGAAAGGCTGAGGGTCTTGAGGCTGTTTTCGTTAGAGAGAAGAAGGTTAAGAGGTGACTTGATAGAGACATACAAGATGATCAGAGGATTGGATAGGGTGGACAGTGGGAGCCTTTTTCCCCGGATGGTGATGGCTAGCATGAGGGGACATAGCTTTAAATTGAGGGGTGATAGATATAGGACAGATGTCAGAGGTAGGTTCTTTACTCAGAGAGTAGTAAGGGCGTGGAATGCCCTTCTGCAAAAATAGTAGACTCGCCCACTTTAAGGGCATTTAAATGGTCATTGGATAAACATATGGATGATAATGGAATAGTTTAGGTTAGATGGGCTTCAGATTGGTTTCACAGGTCAGCGCAATATCGAGGGCCGAAGGGGCTGTACTGCGCTGTAATGTTCTATGTTCTATGTCCTGTAGTCTAAGACTTCCATACACACTATTTACCACTGATCTTGTGGTTCTTCATCTTTCCAAAGCCTCAATGTCACTTACTGTGCGTGGAGACTAAAACTGGACACAATTCCAAATGAAGTATGACCACGGTCTTGTACAAAAATGAAAAATAAACTATTATTCTCAACTACTAGTTTGCACCAGATGTGCAAGTAGAATTCCACTGTTCTCAATGCCAGGCTTGCTGTAATAATCTGCAACGCTATTGCTTACCCATGCTATAACAATCGCATGGATTAAATATTGAGGTATTCATATAAAATTATGCTAAATATTTCAGTTTGCCACAGTTTTTATTCATTGGACCTGTAATTTCCCGGGAGGTTTAGTTTGATCCTAAGATTTTTCCAATCTGTGACACAAACACCATCTGTATATATGGTGAGTAATAATTAGCTAATGCACCCTTAATGTTGAAAGCTTCCATTTGTAGTTGTTTTTCATTCAGAACCTTGTGATTCATCTAGTTGCTAAAATAGCTGTTTATCAAATTAAGTTTGCCATACTCTTCGATTATATATGAGAAGCTGGTACAGTGGGAGTTTTTTTTTAAAAGTCACTTTGTAAGTTCAGGCTTTAGATTTTTTGTCCAGCTATGAAGTTGGCATTTGTAATCTCATCATATCCTCACCCAGCTCCTCTATCTCTGTTTGATCATTTTAAACCTTTCTGTATTATGTAGCTTAAATTCTTGTCCAAAGGTCTAGATCTTCTCGAACTTTTCTTCATTTGATCTGTTAGCCTTTTGCTGTTTAAAATGAATTTAATTGTGACCACAATCTCATCAAAGCAACCATCAGGATTGGGATTCAGAGCAGGTGTGCAGTTGAAGACCTGTGTAGCAGGGAATCCTGAAGCTTGCAGTTGGAATCTGGGTCATATAATCTGTAAAAACCGAAAGAACTGCAGATGCTGTAAATCGGGGAAAAATAAACTGGAGCTCAGCAGGTTTGGCAGCATCCGTGAAGAAAAATCAAAGTTAACATTTTGGGCCCAGAGACCCTTTCTCGGAATCTCTAACCTGTATAGATTTTTTGGAAATTGTTCCTCAGGAACAAAGTATAAAAGCATGATTTGCTTCCTTTCCAGAGCCATAGTTTTAGATTTGCAAATAATATTTCAACAGAACAGAGCTGCCACTAAAATGCAGTTACTATGAATTTCTCATCAAGTAAGCTTATGAAGTCAAAAATTTACCAAAACCTCTTTGTATATTGTGAAGGCAGCATTTGTAGAAATTACAGCCATATTGCAATGGAGCTGTGAATGTTTTACTTAAATGTATAATTACCCAAAGGATGCAAGTGAACATTTTGAATTTTCTTTCTCCCCCCCCCCCGCTCCTTTGCAGAAGAGTGGTGAGGTGCTGTTGACCCCATTTCAAAAACCTAAACAGAAAAGGCACCGCTGTAGAAATCCTAACAAACTGGATGTGAACACTTTGACAGGAGATGAAAGAGTGCCTGTTGTTAATAAAAGAAATGGGAAAAAGGTATGACTATGTAAAGAAAGAGAACTGGTTATCTGATTGACCTCAAATCACTTTAGTCATTTATCGTTTGTCAACACAAATTAGCTTCCTTTCATACCACATCGAATTTTCAAGATAATTAAAGCAGGTATCAGAACAGTATGAAAGCTGATATATTGTTCTGTTTTGTGTATAGTACTGGTTAGATTTTTATTACTAACCTTACCAAATTTCTTTGTAACCAGCAAATTACTTTTGAAGTGCAGTGACAATATGTGTGAAAAGAAAACGTTGCAGGATTACTGGGAAAAGGGGCGTTAGTGTAAGTGGTTTGCTTTTGCAGACAGTCAGCACAGACATGGCAGGCTGAATAGTAACCATTCTATTATAGTGTCAACATGATAGCCACTTTGTGCATAACAAGATCCCACAAATGTCAGTGACATAGGTGACCAGTTTTTTTATTCACTCATGGCACGTGGCCACTGCTGGCTGGGTCAGCATTTATTGTCCATCCCTAGTTGCCCTTGCAAAGGTGGGGGTGAGCTGCCTCCTTGAGTGCCTGCAGTCCATGTGTTGTAGCTTGACCCAAAATGCCCTTAGGGAGGTAATTCCAGAATTTTGTCCCAGCAACAGTGAAGAAATAGCGATATATTTCCAAGTCAGGATAGTGAGTGGCATGGAAGGGAATTTGCAAGTAGTGTTCTTATGTATATGCTGCCCTTGTCCTTCTAGATGGAGGTGATTGTGGGTCTGGAAGGTCGAAGAATCTTTGGTGAATTTCTGCAGTGCGTCATACACTGCTGCTACTGAGCATTGGTAACGGAGTAAGTGAATGTGGTGTCAATCAAGCGGGCTGCTTTATCTGGATGGTGTCGAGTTTCTTGTATGTTGTTGGAGATGCACCCATCTAGGCAACTGGGGAGTGTTCCATCATGCTCCTCAATTGTGCTTGTAGATGGTGGACAGGCTTTAGTGAGTCGGGAGGTGAGTTACTCGCCACAATATTCCTAGCCTCGAACCTGCTGTTGTAGCCTCCATTTATGTGGCATGTCCAGTTGAGTTTTTGGTCAGTGGCGCTCCTAAGGATGTTTGATTGTGGGACATTCAGTCATGGTAACACTGTTGAAAGTCAAGGGGCGCTGGTTAGATTATCTCTTATTGGAGATAGTATGTGGTGCAAATAATACTTACTACTTGTCTGCTAAGCTTGGATATTGTTCACATCGTGTGGCATTTGAATATGCACAACTTCAGTATCTGAGGAGTCGTAAGTCGTACTGAACATTGTGCAATCATCAGTGAACATCCCTACTTCTGACCTTATTATGAAGGGAAGGCCATTCAAGGCTTTTGAGAAGATTTGTAGCTCAGGTTGTTGATGGAGTTATTGACTTGCTCGCCGAGCTGGTAAGTTTGTTTGCAAATGTTTCATCACCATGCTAGGTAACTTATCAGTACGCCTCTGGTGAAGCGTCGGTGTTCTAAGCTGCTTGCTACTGGTGTGTCTCAGCTTGCTGGGGTGGGTGGCATCACTTCCAGATTTGTTTTTCAGTGGCTGGTATAAGGGGTCCAGCTCTACATGTTTGTTAATGGAGTTCCGGTTTGAGTGGCAGGCCTCCAGGAATTCTCGTGCGTGTCTTTGGTTAGCTTGTCTTAGGATGGCTATGTTGTCCCAGTCAAATTGGTGTCCCTATTTGTCCATGTGTATTTTGATGAGTGATAGTTGGCCACGTCTCTTGGAAGCTAGTTGGTGTTCATGAATCCTCATGGCTACTTTCCTTCTGGCTTGCCCTTTGTAATGTTTTTGGCAGTCTTTGCATGGTATCTTGTAATTAACGTTGGTTTTGTTCGTTGTGGTTGTCGAAGCCTTTATTCTCGTCAGTAGCTATCATAGTGTAGCTTTCGGTTTGTGGGCTACCATTGATTCCAAGGGGTGGAGCAATCTGGTAGTCATTTCAGGTATGTTCTTAATGTGTAGTAGGGTGACTAATGTCTCTAGCTGTGTGTGTCTCCCTGTTGTGGTCTATTGTGTAGGCATCGGTGGACTATGCTTTACGGGTAACCATTGTTTCTAAAGATGCTGCATACGTATTCTTGGCTTTTTGTCCATATTTGAACCAAGGCTGTAATGAGGTCAGGAGCTGAGTGGCCCTGGTAGAACCCAAACTGGGCATCACTCAGCAGGTAATTGCTGAGCAAGTGTTACTTGATAGCACTGTGACCTTCCCTCAATTTAATGATGATTGAGAATAGACTGATGGGACAGTATTGGCCAGGTTGGATTTGTCCTGCTTTTTGTATTAGTAAATATCTTCTTGATGGAGAAACATTGGCTGATACCAGGCAAACACTTTACAGCTCTTTGAATAGTGTTGACAGATCTTTTATAACCACCAGGATAACCAAATAACCCATTAGATTAGTGATACATCCAAAGTACAGAACTTGTGATAATGAAAATATTCTCAGTACTACACTGATGCTCACGCTCTGAATTAGCACTGGAATACACAACTTCTGACTCTGAGCCAAAGCCCCTGCTAACCAAACAAACTGATGAGGTATACTGAAGTTTATAAAATTGTATTGTAGTCTTTGAAACTGAAAATCTAGATGATGATCAAACATTTTAGTTCCTAAAGCAGTTTTTCAGGAGGGGATTTAATTGCTGCATTATGATAATTCAAATGATGGACCTATTGAAAATTATTGTGCATATTTCTCCTTTTCAGTATTATTGGAATAATCAATAGCTTAATTTCTTTACTATCTATATGGAGGTGATTACTAGTTTTGGAACGTGGCAACTTGTATTCAGACCCTCACTAATAGCCACTTGGAATTAGGTAATTTTGTTTGCAGTGGTTTGGAAATGCTGAATTTTCATGATAAATTTGCCAAAGAGAAATATTTTTCAAAAAAGGAATGCAATGCACTTGTATTCGACTCTCTAATACTAAAGTTCAATGTAATAAAAATAAATATGCTACCCAAGGTATTACTACTTTGTTTCCCTGAATTTGTTTAGATGGGCGGTGCTATGGCCCCACCAATGAAGGATCTACCGAGATGGCTTGAAGAAAATCCTGAGTTTGCTGTTGCACCTGATTGGGCTGACGTTGTCAAGCAGTCTGTAAGTGTAGCTATTCTTGTTTTATGTTCGTGTTAGTAAAACAAAATAAATGCACTCACTTGGGCTACGTAAAATGTCTTGTCTTTTGACTTTGGAAATGGAGTTTTGTTTCAGAAATCAATCAGCAAAGGTCATTTATTTAGTGGGTAGCCAAGTTTGTAAGATGAATCAATTAAGGTTGTAGCTAATGGCTGCACTTTACTTTCTTGAACTAAATTGTAGCACATACTGATTTGCTTAGAAATGCCTGAAACTCAACTTAAAATGTTATTCTTCAAAATGTACAGCAATGTAAAGATGAAATTTTGTAATATTGAATTGCAGGAGTCCACAATATAATTCATAATTTCCGGGAGAGACTGTTCTTTGTCCAGGAATAGTTACGATACTTTAATACTTTAGTTTTTGTCACTGTGCTATTTATGGTATTTGTTGGTCAAACTGGTATTTGTTAAATTATGTTGAAAAGGGACAGTCATCGGTTGCTCCTTGTGTTTCGACATGGTGCATTTAGGGAACTTTTAGGAATTATTGCAATGACATGACGGTTGTCTTTTTCAGGGTTTTCTACCAGAGTCCATGTTTGACCGTGTTCTCACTGGACCAGTTGTTCGAGAGGAGGGAGCAAGTCGAAGAGGGAGACGGCCTAAAAGTGAGATTGCCAAAGCTGCTGCAGCTGCTGCTGCTGCTTCAGCCTCAGGAATAAACCCACTACTGATGAACAGTCTCTTCGCTGGAATGGATCTAGCAAGCCTGCAGAATTTACAGAATCTGCAGAATCTTCAGTTAGCTGGACTGATGGGCTTCCCATCAAGTCTTGCTACAACAGCTACAGGAGGAGATGCAAAAAACCCTGCTTCCTTATTACCGCTAATGCTTCCAGGCATGGCAGGGCTGCCCAATATGTTCGGACTGGGAAGCTTGTTAAGCAACCCCTTGACTGCTACGCCTGGTACTTCTTCAGCAACATCGGGTCCAAGCGAAACAGAAAGTGGCATTTCCTCTAAGACAGAAAATGATAAAGAAAATGATAAGGAAAATGAAGATAAGGAAATAAACAGTGCTGAATCTGCTGTTGATTCTAATAATGCAAGTTCCAGTTCTTTCACAGCTCCTGCAAACACTGGACTATCCAACAACCCTCTTGCTTTCAATCCATTCTTACTTTCCACTATGGCTCCTGGATTATTCTACCCATCCATGTTTCTTCCTCCTGGTCTGGGTATGACTTTATCTGGTTTTCCTCATAATACACTGGCTGGACTACAGAGCACAATGGGCTCAAATGATGATAAGGAGGATAAGACAGATGGCAAAACTGAGGACAACAGTTTTATGGAAGGAGAAGCCAATTCAGATGACAGTGATCCTTTGGGAAGCCCAAGTAAAGCAGCAGATTCTTCCCTTCTGGAAGATGAATTGGCACAGGCGACAGGGTTGGACTCAGTTGAGGGAGAAGATGATGACGAGGATTAATTACATTTCCAGTTACTTAAGTGTTTTAAAACTCTTCAAGTTGTAGTCCTACTGTTTACATATTCATTAAATGTCCACGCATAGTTTTTTTAAGCTATCTCTGTAACATAGTGTAGCAAAGTTCCAAGTCATGTTATGCAGATGTCAAAGATGTCTTGGTCATAAGTATTATGCAGTGCATTATTTATTATCATAGAAGTGATATCAAGTACAAAATTGTGTCTGAATTTAAGCAATGAAGTTAAAACAAATGCTCTGCTTTTTATTTTTCACCAGTAGTAATTTGAGATACGCAGCAAACTTCAATCATGGCATGTGATTGTCAGTGACCGAAGCAGTTCTGCTTATAAAGGAATAATGAAGATGTATATTTAACATTGCTGTGAAGAGCACAGATGGACAAAAGTCATTGTAGAACATATCATGCCTATAGATTTGACTGTAAATAGAGTCCACACTGACAATCCCCACGATAGTGTGAAAGTCTCACCCCAGAGGCACAGCAATAACTTGGCAGCTGTTGAATGTTTTTTTTAAAAAAAAAATCTGGACAATAAAACGCCTAAAGGGTGACCACAATTTCTGACTTAAACTACAGTTGATTTGCATTGTCTCATGATTTTTTTTCTTGTAATGCACTGTTATAAACAAAATTCAGGTACATTTCTCTGAAGAAAGGACTTTGTTACTTTAGCCACAAAGCTAAACAGCATTACCTCAGTTCTACTAGCATTGAAGTTTACAAACATGACTTTGTAAATGTATGTTTTCTTTGTTGTGATGTTTTTTTAAACAATTTTGAAAACTGCTATCATGTAAGATAAGATGTAAATTGCTGCCAACTGTAGTAACAATGCTTTTAATAAAAGTGACCCATGATATGCAGTGACATGTACTGTAGAACAAGCAAAAATCTAGAGAAACCAAATTATGATTGGTATTCACTAGTTGCGTTGCTTAGTAGCAATAGAAACACATACCATATTCTGAAAAAGGTTTTTTTTTCGTTTTTGTTGGTGAAGTAAATGTTTACAAATGGACAATACATGTACTTAAAGATACAATGAAATTTAGCTTTATTATTAAACCAATTCAGTATTAGGCATCCTGGTTTCATTATATTCTGTTCTGTTTCCACTAGTTAAAAATGCTGATAGAATACACAGCATATATTTTTGGTAGCTTCTAAAGTCAAGATCCATCAGATTAAACTGCCTTTCTCACTTAGCAGGCAACGTTGTGTAGCCCAAAGCACCAAACGTGGTGTAGGCTGTTGATAAGCCTAAGGCTGTTTTAGGAAAGACGGAGATTCCCAACTCCATTGTGTTGCAATGCTATCCTTTACCACTGATATCTGACAGTGAGTTTAAATTTGGTTAGCCGTGGCCCGATTTCCAGCAAATACTTTCCGAAACCTACAATAACCTGCTTGAAGAGGAACCTTGAAATTGTAATGCAGTATTTCTTGTGTGATGTGAGTTTCAATTGTTTCACGGTCAGTGAATAATAAATCCAATATTGCAGCTTGCAAAAGGAGTTGTTCTGTATGGAAATGTGAAGTTGTTTACGATTTTCACTCTTGGAAAATTGTCCCTGGCACTCAGATGTTAACCATTTCTTGTTAAGTCTGAGTTATTTGAGTATACATTAAACTATAGAAAATTAATTTGGTAGCCAGTACCATTTATTCACATTTATGTGTGTTTATCGTAATCAAAAGTTACCTACAACACCATGAGATGGTACAGTTTGTCACTTCACGTAGTTAAGCACTAATTGTGATTAACAATATTCTTAAAAAAAAAAATCAGTTGTGATTAGGATACTAAGCCCAAGGAAGGGTAAATTCCAGCAATAATGAGTTTACTTAGTTCAATTTCCTACCTTTTCCAGTTGCTACCACTGCTTCTCACCTTTCTCATTTTGCCAATCTCTTGGAGTTTTGAAAATATTCCTCCTAAAAAGTAGAACCTTGATTTTTATTCCTGAGTCAGTTCCACAAAGGCATGGAAGATCATAGCTCCACAAACCCATCCAAAGCTCCCATTTTGACCTGGGGCAGCCTTGGGAGAGAGGAGTTGGATACCAGTTTCTGAAGCTGAGTGTCCAGAAAGGCAGCAACGTGTTAGAAAACTAAAACAAACAAAAGTTCCTCCAGCTTCACCCCTCACTTAAAGCACTTCTTTCATCTCCATGGCCTCACGTATGTTTTATACCCATTTCCCCATCCTCCATGGCTCCTCTCGCCCCCTCTCAGCTCAAAATTCCACCCTTTCCCCTTTCAGCTACCATGGCAACTCACTTGTTATCCACTAATACACGTGCACGCAGGAGTAAAAATTAAGTTCTGTTACTTAAGTTGTATATTGTTATGTACCGTACAGTGTTGTGAAAAGCACCCTGATTTATTGAAATGCATTTTGGCGGGGTCTTGACATATTTGCACAGCAGTTTTCTAGCAAAATCAATTTGCTTTCCCAGGTGGTTACTGTACCTGTATTCTATTTTGTGTTCTTTGTGTTAGCACACCCAAATCCCTTTGAACGACAATGCTTACAAATGTCATGCTATTTTTAAAAAACTGCTTATTTTTTTCTGATGAACAAAGTGAACGACCTCTCATTTCATCACATTATTCTTCATCTGCCACCTTGCTGCCTCATGCTTAACCTATCCAAATCACTACACCACAGTTAGTGCCCTTCTTGTAGACTTAGTTGTATTTGACAAATGTTAACATCATCATCAAACATAGGTAATGAGGCCACTGAGCCTCGTTAATATGCACTGACCCATTGGGGCATTCCACAAGGCACTGCCTGCTAACTTGAAAATGCCCTTTTTATCACTTCTCTTTGCTTCCTGATTGTTAGTCAGTCTTCTGTCTGTGCAAATACAGCACCCCAATTCTATTAAGCCTTATCTTGTGTGAGCCATATTTGTGAATGCCTTTTGGAAATCCAAGTATCATAGATCATAGCATATAAGTTGATTCCATTTTGGCCTAAACTTGGTAATGCTCACCTTGTACATTTAGCTAATGGGATCAAGCAGGTGGTGCAGGTTGTATAGTGAAGATGGAGTGAGATTTTGATACACCAACAAGGAACAGATGGGATATACAGACCAATGAACAAAAGTATTGGCA